CATGATCTCACCAGACTGCTCAGCCAGCGGAACAGATCGCGTCGGCAGGCGAGCAGTCGGATTGTGTCGACAAATATTCCTTCACAAGGTCTTTTGGCTTGCCCTTCCAGTTCCTCGATGCAATGACGCTGTAGACCAGTAGGAGGCATCAATAAGTAAATGGACAAGAGGGCTTCTATTAAGAATAGTCAGGTTTAATTTCCCAATCCCAGGGGGCATGGTAAGGTAAATGCATTAATACAGAATAGGAAATGTAACTTTCAGGTTCAGCTGCCTTTCGATAAACTTAAACCTTGTCCCTCCCTGTGAACCAATAATCACACCACCTAGACTTCCAGACTGCACTCGAAACTGATCCGTTCACCCAAATACAAAGCAGCTAATCCAGGGCCGCGCTCTGCATCGATAGAGTGGTAATGGGAGAAAAGCAGAGCTTCAGTGAGGTTTCCTTGCCATCCAAGCATGGGGGACCTGCGATGAACGTCACCTCAAAAGCGGCGCACACCCCTGAGTGGATAGACAGGGCAGCATTCTTATGACGGTAAGACAACCAGCATTGACAGCAGGCTTCTGAAGAGAACAGCCCCCCCACCGACACACACACACACACAAATGAGCCCTGAGGGCCACCAAGGGAGGACCAAGGGAGGACCAAGAGAGAACCCCCCCCCTGCAGGCACCTACCACCGGGTCTTACCCCCTGCAGCCTTTCAGAAAGTCATCCAACAGCAGACAGAGGCGGGGTCTGCCTTTGAAACCAGAGAGCTGAGAACTGGGGTGAAGGACATTAGCCCTTCACCCCCCCCCCCCACCCACCCCCCACCAGAGCATCTCCACAATACCGCTGCTGCAGGTCTGTCACAGATGCACCGGGGGATGGGAGTCTATCAGATTCTGATTTTTTCTTTAGCTGAAGACAGAACCTTGAAACATTATACCTTACTTTCAAACAGGTTCAGCATCTCATGATTGTTTACCAACAACTCCTACCTATTTCTGCAAACGAACCCCCTTTTGTCTAGCAAGAGCTCCTAACCCACTTGAGGGTTTGAATTATGCATGCTAAATGCTTTCAGGCATAAAGCGAGATCTCCCACTAAGGACCAAGGGTTTCGCTTCTGTTCAGACCCCTTTCTCTAGGGTCATGACCTGGTGACCTGGCACTGCCCTGCCTTGAGTGCCCACAGCTCTATTCTTAGGAACTCGACAGCCAGCTCACTAAGCACTCTTCCAGTCAGGAGGTCACCATACCAATCACACCGATCGGCCACATGTCGGTACAAGTCATGACCGACAATGCTATACCAACCTGTTTGACAGCTTACTGCATCGTCAACTCCACCCTCACCCCCCCCCCCATCACACAACCCTCTGGGACCCAAACTGCAGTTAATCTGGACCTGGGCACCGACCCACCCTGCCCCTCTACACAAACACAAGCATGTTCAGCAAGGCGTTCACTTGAGAAGCTCAGTGAAGGTAGGTGGACATGACAGCGCCGAGTAGGTAAACGGGTACAGTGGAGAGGCAGGAGGGGAGATGACTTGTGTGTCACGCTTCACTTCTCTCCACATGTGAGCTCCATGTACGTGTATAAAGTCACGAGACATGTCTCCTTTACTGCTCCCCCTCCCCCAAAACCACGACAAACTCAACATCACATCCCTTCCTGCTGGCTTCATGGGATATAGTGCAGTGCCTGAGCTCACAGTAGAGGATGATCTTTTTCCTGGATGTCTGCTGCCAGAACGAAAGCCACACGCTCAAGGCGACCCGGGGTGGGGTCAACGCTAATCAGGCTGACGGTCACCACAGCTGGATTAAGATCACCCCCCCCCCAGTGCTTAGCTTAGGAATGGCAATAGTGGACAGGCTGAGACTAGTCACAGCAAGTACCCTGCCTGAAGGAGACAAGACTTCCTTCCAAGGACTGGAATCTGCAGCCCTCACCGGACAGCCTGCATCTCATCATCTCTGTGTACCATTACAGAGTGCCCTCTGGTCAGATTGCATTTTTCTTGTTTAATCACAGCAAAACATAACGCTCATATCAGAAAACAACACTATTTACAGGTATTTCTACTCCACCCATTTTCCACCTAACTATTCCAGTCAAAAAAGCTTTTGGAGACCAGGCAAAGCCAGCTGGCTCACCCAGCCGTTACTGGAAAAGTTCACGGTATGAAACTCATAGTTCATCACCTGATCCTGTTCCTCCTGAAAACGCAGCCCAACCCACACAAAGCTGGTGTTGGCACTGCACAGGGATCACACCCCGAACAAGTTGTGGGACAACTCTACTCCGCCCCCCAGCCTGTCCTCCTGAGTACTCCAAATCAGGCCAACAGCAATACTTCAGGACATGCCCACCAATTGCTGTTGCCCACAGGGTGGCGCTATACACCATCCCAGTTCCACAGTGTGATGCTAAGTTCCACATCTGCACTTAACCTAGATCAGTGGTTCTCGATCCTGTTGCTAGCGCCCCCCCGCCAGAATGTTTTCATTCCAACCCTACCTTTTTCAGGCTTATATGGTCCTTAAATAGGCTAATAATGAATGTGGATTGTTGAAAGCAGTGTGGGTTGCAAAGAAAACGTTCTGGTGAGAGCGCAGCAACAGGACTGAGAACTACTGACCTAGATCAATGTTCCACAGCTGGTGGGTTGCAGAGCGTGTGGTATATTTTAACACCAACGCAAATCTCCCCACTTGTCGGCAATTTTTTCCATCAGCAGAAATAAATTTACCTCGCAATTTAAAAAATTTAGGTCATGACTTAATGACTAAAACAATTGAGTAAACCATTGTACTCAAACAAACCAAAATCTTCAAGCCAAAATGCTACAAATTAATATAACCTCTACAAGCTTGGACTAAGCAACTACAACAGAATAATCATAACACACGGTGTCATTTTTAAGAGAGATTACAACAAGTGGCTAAACCTGTATGAAATCAACACCTGGATGAGTCATCTTCCGGTCTCCGCTGCACCCAACGTGAAGGTATTCCTGCTACTGACTAAAATTTGCCTGCTAAACACGTTCATTCAAAGGACTTTGCAAATTGCACCGTTTTACAGTTGGACGATTAACGGGAGCTTGGCTTGAGGCAATGAAAGATGTCCCTCTAGAGATTTCAGATGTCGATCTCTGAGGCCCATAACAGCTATGCCCAAAGACACATTGCCCGAAATGTGCTAGGTAAAGCTGCGGAGTCAAACAAACCAAACTATACGAGCTTCCTGCTCCAATGTGTGGACGTAATTACAGCTAGCTTCCCGACAGATGGTCCCAGAAGTATCAGACATCAAAGACGGATTTATCTGCTTTCCTTAAAGGGCACATCGATAGAGATCACTTCCCATTTCCTACCCAAATGTCTAACAGCTATAAACACCCCCTCACATCACTTACATACACACTCATAAGGCGAGGTGATCTACAGTCACATGACACAATACTTTGACAGTGTGTCACCCTGGGGTTGTAGGATGCCCAAAAGGTGGTGTGTGGCTCCGCAGGTTATGAAGGCTGCTGGTTCAAATCTCAGGTCGGCTGAGTGATGTCACCCTTGGGCCCTTGTGCGAGGCCCTTAACCCCCAGTTGCTTCAGGGATTGTCTGACCCTGCTTTCTTAAAAGAAAAAAAAAAGTTGCATTGGATAAAAGCATTTGCCAAAAAAATAAAATGTAAATATAGCAACAGCCAGAACAGACAAGTCTCTCAACTAAAGTGATGGGAGTGTTTATCGCGAATCTCAGATCACTTTTAAGCACTGATGTTTAACCAAGGTGCACTACCTTAGTTGGGAACACGACGTACCAGCTGCTGGAGCAGTACGTTGCACTCCTAATGTGGAGAGGGCATTTTGCAATCCTGGAAATGAGTTTCTCCTCAATAAACCATGACCATACACTGAGATATTACTAAGGTTGTAGACATTTCTTCTCTTAATTGATGCAATAGCTGGAAAGTACAGTGATAAGAATTTTAGAGGTGTGACACACTTATTGAAGGCAACTTTTTATTGACTTCATTTATAGTCCTTGAATATTAACTCAGCAATAGCGCTGATCATGCGGTTCCTCCTTGAAATCCTATTGTGACGGTAGTATAAACGTGTAAATTAAACACTAACTTCTCGGTCACTCTCAGGAGTTCAGGAGTAACAAAATCCAGGACACGCGGGAGGTCCACCGGGGCCGGAACACCGCGATAACCGGCGTCCGGTGCCCAGTCTTTGTGTAAACGGAGCCGACAGGGCCGGCGATATCCCTATCCAGCCACGGGAACACTCAGGCTGTTTTCGGGACGGAGATCAGGATCCGGCAACAACTGTGAGATACCAGACTGGCACACACAGCTGAAGCGGATGGGGGGGGGTGTTCTTTCTCTCTCTGTCTCTCTCTCTCTCTCTCACACACACACACACACACACACACACACAGCGCCAAATAGAGAGACCGAGACGCCGAAAATTCAGAGGCACATTTCGTTTATGCCAAATGGGCAATGCGCAGTCCTCCATCCGTTTCTACCTTTAGCTGTGCCTTGGAAAGGCAGATTGCACGGCCTGCGTGGGCTATCCCGAAGATGGAAGAGGAGGGGGTGGGGGAAGACGTCCTGAAGCACCGAGTCTGTGCTCCGGGAACAAATGTAACAGCTGTTCCGCGACAATATGTCACGGACAAAACACACGCCGGACGGTTCATTGTAGTCAGAGAGAATACAGGCGCTATACATGATCCGCATTAACACGAGTCAGGCTCATAAAATAAACTATATTAACAAACTGACAGCACGCGGTGCGCATTAACTCACGTTTAAATAAATGACGGGGACAAATAGTGATTATATCCTGAATGAAGCGCTCTTGGCAGGGAGCTCGCGCCGGACCGCCGCGACTTTAAACTGGTAGGAAGCGGCGCGCGCGCGCAGCCAGCCGGAGCCAGAAGCCGAGCCGCGCGCAGGCCCGCGCGGATCCCCGCAAACTTACCCGCCGGAGCGCCTGCGATGCCCCCTGTCCCGCTCCGTCACATACGCCTTTCCTCCGCCCCGCGACCCCCCGTCCGCACGGAGCGGCACTTTCGGCGGGCCGAGTGGTGAATTGGTGCGGGCGCAGCTGCTATTCCGAAGTTGAAATCACGGTCTTTGCCATCTCCGGTCTTACATCCAGCACGCCGGGCAGCGGGCTGCTCGTCCGGGCTCCAGTAGTCAAACACCCCCAGCAAAGAGATGTAAAAAAACACCAAAAGCGTGAAAAATGGTGAGTAAAAAGGGGGGACGGGAGGGTGGACAAAATAGTAATGTCGGTAATTTGGGTTGGGGGGGACCAGCGAAATGCTGGCGAGTCGGGAATGGTGTCGAGCACAACAAAAGGCGAAGAGACTCCCAGTTCCTGTACGCTCCCCCTCCCTAAAGTTAACCCAGAAGCCGTCCAGCAAACATGGCCGCTCGCCTTCCAGGGAGTGGGAAAAGCCCTGCTCGTCAGTCGGTCCGTCCGTCCGTCGGTGCGTCCGTCCGCCGCGGCAGCTGTTGAGCTCTCTGGGCTAGCGGCTGCTCCCGAAGGCAGTCGCAGGGGGGCTGGCGAGCGACGGCCGGAAACGCGCCGGGAGAAATCACGGGTGCTTAACACGCCGATCGATTATGCGCGATTCCCACGGTTTGGAATAGCAAGGTTTCTGGTGCCCCCTTGTGGCGCGATTTGGGAAACGCGCGTCCGATCAATCGGGACAAGATTGCGGCTCACTTCGTCCCCCGAACAGGTGGTCCTTATCCAGACATCTAAAATGTTAGTTATTTATAGATCCCTTGCAGAGAATATAATGAAAATAAGTAAATCCTCCGTAATTGTAAAACACAGGTCGAAAAACGTTGTATGGGAATACACACCCCCAGTAAATTAATATTTATCCAAAGAAATTATGAAACTAACACGGAACTATTTATGTTGGTCAAAGGTCAAAGATTGGTTCCGTAATGGTCAGGGGAGCTATAACGGGGGGGATCGGTTTGGACGATTCCAAGTGCCTCCGTCCTAAATAATTTGGAACATAATTGGATTTCTTTTGTTTGGGGGTCCAATATGAAATGTCTTCATGGGGTCCAAAATCTCTAGCACCGCCCTTAGCAATGGCTGTTTCCAGAAAAAAATACATTGATACAATTTAAAAACTAGTCCAGGTCTAGACTTACACAATTGCGTGGTCATTCAAATATAGTTAATTGCTGCTTTTTCTTTGTACCTTTCGTAAGTTGTCTTTGAATCGATGTAATCTATGAGGCACTCATCTTCGTGTTCAAAACACATTCTGTGCCACAAAAACCATTATTTAATGATGAAATCAAGTAATGCCTTGCTGCATTCTGTCCACAAAAGCAAAATGACTTCACCTTCTTTCATGCGCAGAAATCAAAAGGAATGTTTCATTTCGTGTACATTTTGATATCAGCACTTTGCATTTCGTGGACAGAAGAAAGTCATTTCATGGATGAAATGCATTTTGCGAATTAAGTAGGGTGACCAGATAATCCATGTCAGGGAGGACACTTTGAGCTACTTCAGGTTTTACAAACTACTTTCAAATTGAAAGGCTCCTGTGCTCGGCTAATTAGTTCAGCTCTTCTTGTGCTTTGACTGGTTTATTTCCTTGACTGAAAGACTCATCCAGCTGTTTCACATTAACATTAGTGACACATGCATGATTATAGGAGA